GGTCAAACATTAAAAGCTTGTACCAAAAATAAAGGATAGTATCAGTTATAGTGGTGGCAAATGGGTGCAATGGACCGATTTGGGTGGATCTTGTGCTAGTAGTTGCTGGCTGTCTTCAAAGCAGGCCCAAACATGTCTCTTATTGAAATAGAAGAATTTGTGAACTAACCTGCTGAAAGGTTTGATATCTATAATTGAAGTAAGATAATTCATTCTATTGAAGCATAACGTAAAAAGCTCGGGATGCATATGTTCTTTTCAGGGTTAAAGGAAGATAGACTGGAATCCATCTCATAAATATGGGTAAAATATGGACTAGGTGAATGTTTCAAACCCACTTTAATCTCCTTAAGCCATAAATTATGACAAGTCTCATAATGCTTTTTAGAACCAAATTGTTGTATAAGATGAATAAACTTCTTTCTTTTTTCAAAAGCTTTATCATGTGCAATGGTGAAGTTTTGATGTCAATTTACTTTCTTCCTTCAATACTCCAAATTGCATAAAACTGAGAGAATGAGAAGAGGATAACCTCTCTAAAAACTTGGATAGAGAAAGCAAATATTATCAAGTCCTGGCTTAAGGGAAAAGAATCCAATTTATGTTTGTTGGTATTCAAGCCCTAGTAACACTCTGATATCGGAGAAAGGAGACTGATTTACACTTTACAGTGTATGGGATTAAAGATCAGCTAAGCTCATCTATCTATAAGAAGTCCCACATAGGTTGAAGGAATGGGTTGTGGTCTTTGAGCAATACTTACCTCATGAGCTAACTTTTTAAGTTTGAATTAGATCCAATGTCCATTTATTCACAAGATTCGTTCTTGTAAAGATAATACGTTAGTGTGTTACGCCTCACTTTCTGTAATAGAAAATTGTGCAGCTTTAAGAGAGTATGTTCTAGTGAACTCATAATGAGTTAGAGAGGTGTGACCAGGCACCTAAAAATGTAAAAGAAAGGTAACCAGAGATGCAATTAGTTAACAGACACCTTCCTAAAAGGTCGAACTTCACAAAACATATATGTTGGAGGAATGATCTGAAGCTAGGAGGCATAGCAATTGTTACTAACAAAACATGCAGGCAAAGAGGCTGACCTTTTAATCGTGCTGCTACACTTCCATTTGGCATATAGGGGTAAACAAGAAGCCTTTCACTTTCAGTTGAACAAAAACCCCAAAGACGGAGAAGATTTCGATGAACCGCCAAACTAATCAACTCAACTTCTGTCTGAAATTGGATTTCACCACCAACAGCATTGTAGTCCTTTAATCTTTTGACAGCCACGACAGTTCCATTATTTAAGCGGCCCTTGTACACAACTCCAAATCCTCCGCTACCCAAAATGTTTTTTGAGCTGAAATGATCAGTTGCAGTTCGCAATTCCTTAAAGACATACCTTTTCAAGTGACCCAAGCATACCTCTGGATCATATTGTTCTGCATTTGAGATATCATTGCTCAGATACAGCTGTAGAAATAGCAGGTGACAGACAGACAGACAAAAAATACTAATGCTCAAGGAAAGGGATGAGAAAGAATGAGTGGTGACAAGTCCCCAAAATTTGTTCACAATATGCATACGAAGCAACCAACCTATAAGTTTATCAGGGAAACAGAGCAAATAACAATTGATTCAAACTTCACCTGACAAGGTTGGTCAGGATATGAATTAAGCTGGTCTAAAGCAGGGAAAAGTTATCTTATCCAGGATCTGGATTATAGCATTTTAATCAACATATTCTCCATGTAGATGTAGAACTGCTGTTAATTATCTACTACTTCCTAATTTTGGTCCTTCATAATACTAAACTACTAGATTTACAATCACATGTCAATGTAAACCTTTTCTCTGTCAGATTAACTGAAATATGTACATTAAGAAGCTAAGATAACCAATTAAACAACAAGCCACCAAACTCTGAAACACAATATTCAAATAATGACAAATCTACGGAGTTCAATACATTCAAGAAGAAATGTAATATTCCAAATGAATCAGAAATAGAAAAACTAAAAAGCAAAGAAATCGAATTATCTTAAATGGATAAAAAGCAAAAGAAAATCAGCTAACCATTGACATCAAAGAAGATCTGCTGATTATGTCGGTAGCGCCACCAAAGAACCAGTGATATGACTACTATAACCAAGAAAGTAGCACCAAAACTTGCTCCAAAAGCAACAGCCGCATGATGGTTTTTACTTCTTGCTCTTTGATCTATGAAATTGAAGAAAACAGACAATTCAAGTTCAACAATAGAGATAGCAGAACCGCTTGTGTCTTTTATTGTTTTCCACTTTTAAATGAATGGAACGGAAGGTGAATGAAAGTGAGTGATGTTATGCAGACCTTCTAAACTATCTGGCGGGAAGGACAGCGGTTCTGGATAGACTGCTGAACAATTGTTCCCAGAACTTTGGCCACAAATCAAAGGATTTCCAACAACTCTGAAAATCATGATAAGAAACTTAAATTCAATATAATAAGGTTTAGTGATCTATCAAATATCTTCCTATAAAAGATATCAAAAATAAATACTTCCCGTTATCCTAGAAGCACTATAGTAACTACATAATTATTGTTAATGAAAAGTATATACACAGAGGCATGAACAAGTCAATTTCAATAATTTTGAGTATTACTTCTTCAACTGCAGAAATTATGTATTGAAAGAAGAAAAGGTCTCACTTGAAAGCTCTTGCAGATATTTTGGGCAATGGACCACTTAGATTATTAAAAGAAACATCCCTACAATCAAGATCAGCTAAATCAGTAAAATGTACAAGGAAGAAATAAAACATTATAGTAATTTAGACTGGTCTTTCAAGGATTAGCATAACAAATTTCGAGGGTATGGAGACGTACACGAGAGCGAGGCCTCCAATGTTTGAGAGAGATTGAGGAATGTTTCCTGTGAGGCTATTGTTGTTTAATCGTCTGTCTTGCTCAACAGCGAAGATACATGATAAGATTCAAGTTCAGTTTGATAAGAAACAGTGAAAATAAGAAAAATTTCCTGAACTCACAAATAATTCAAATTATTGAGATCTCCGAAAGAAGCAGGTATTTCCCCATCAAACTTGTTGTTGGAGAGATCAAGTGTCTGAAGACTTTCTAAATTACCAACCACATCAGGAATATAACCATAAATAGCATTATTTTGCAGCAATCTACATGAAATTGGGAATAGTATTATTTAGCTAAACATATAATCAAATGTAGTAAGAGAAACATACAGTGAAGAACTTACATAGATTCCAATTTAGTGAGGTTTCCAATTCCAGGTGACAAGGTTCCAGATAAACTTTGACTAGGTAGTCCACTGATGAAGGGAAATAAAGAGTTTACTTTAGGTCTAGTGATTATCTAGAGTGAAAATAACTGAAGCTCAACTACTTACAGAGAAGAAACATAACCATCATTTGAACATGTAACCATTCTCCAACTGCAAGGGTCAACAGAAGTGACATCCCAATTCTCAAGAACATTGTAAGGATCATGTAAGGCCTTCTTAATTTCAATCAAAGCAACAACTGCATATAATTATGTACAGATGAAGATGATTTTCACCCCTTAAGAGAGAAAGGAAATGTAGGGAAGATGTTTACCTTCATAGTTGATACCAGTAGGGGAAAGAGAAGCATAACAACTCTCCATCAATGCTACCACATACAGGAACATACACCACTTTCTCTCCATTCTCTACTTTTCTACAATTTATCTTGTCAGAAATTGGATTACTTGCCTAATAAAACCTCCCCATAAAACATTAAGACAACAAGAATACATTCTTTACATCAAAACCCACTTCTTCATCCATAAAGGGTCACTCTCAGAAACAATTTGCTTAAAAAAAAAAAGATAGTTGCTGTTTTCACTCAATAATAACAACCACAAATCCTGCTTTTTTTCAACTTCCAATATTTTTTCCTAACACCAAAGATGCTATCTTTACACAATTATGAGAAATGGGCATCCATCTATTATTAGTTATTAGAATGAATGAATAAAAAGGGAATCTTCTTGATAAAGAAAAGAGACTAAGGTGGTAACCTTGAGATCTGATAATATTGGAATATGAACTAATCCCAACAAATTCTATGTTTGAGCTATTTTTCTCCTTCAATGAAACTCTCCACCATATCCTTTCAAGATCAACATCCTCTCCCTCTACTATTTTTATTTTTAAGTAATATATACCACAAAGATACAAACACAACAGAAAAAGCCAAAACATAGGCCAAAAACTCACACATACAGAGATGTGGTCAGATTTTTTAAAAAAAAGAATCCTTTATTTATTATATGTGTATGTGAAAAGAAACAAATAAGCAATTGGGTTTTACAAAGTTAACTTTTTATTGAGTGATTGGACTGCATTGGATTGATGAGAATTGAGAAAGAAGAAGAGCATATCTAAAACGAAAAAATTGTGTACTGCTCCAGTAAAAAAGCTTTTTAGCAGGTCACGTGCTTGCCTTGTCTTAGTCTTTGTTGGCTTTTGGACTTCTTCTCCTTCTTTTTCAACATTTTTTAAATTATTTTCTTCTGTTAAAGTTTTTTTTTCAGACATACCCCACATTGCTAGCTTGCACCACATTTGTTTTCTATATGCAGAATTCTTACCCTCTACCCAAGTTCAACTATTTTCATTTAAAAGTAGGTAAGGTTTGAATATTTTATTAACCTTACGTATGATTATTTGATAATATTTATATTGTTGATACATATATTGCATTATTAAAAATATTTTATTTAAGTCAAATGTTTATTCGAAATAAATTTTAAAAAGTTATAAAGAATAATATTATCTCTTAAAGAATAGATTAAAAAGTTTCGAACGACAATACTCTCAAGTAAAGCATCATATTTATACAAAAACATAATTAACAAAATTTAAATTGTGGACATTTAACTCCTTTCTTATGAACCTCCATAAATTTTTTTATTATTATAGTATGCGTATGTTATGAATGTGTCACGATCAATATGGGCAAAACAGTCCAACAACAAATTAAGAGACTATGTTTGGGATCCAACAACAAATTAAGAGACTATGTTTGGGATCCGCATTGATAAATACGACTTGGGAGAGCAAATTGGACTTATGCAACCTGTTGAGAAAATTATGTAGTCCTCTCATTCCCTTTCACTCTTTTCTTCTATTTATGTTTTTCAATTTTCATTTAATTCTTAAATTCTTTTATAATTTCAATTATGAGTTAGCGAAATAGACTTGTCGATTATTTAAATTTGAAAGAATTGGTCTTGTTATTAGGTTTGTAGCATTGGTGCTTTCATTGCTTGTACTCCATGGTTGAAGACTACCTCAAAATTTCTTGCCATACCCCAGCTGCAACTGTGTTGGATCGCTTCAGCTGTGTTTCCGACCCAACCGTATGGATTTATCAGACAGAGCGCTACTTCAATTTTAATGGATTTTCTAAGGATATGTGGTTTACTCTTCCTTACCTGTATTTTGACAGGGAAGACCTCGCCTGGTTTAATTGGTTGTATCGCAATAAGCAATTCTATTACCGGAAGCATTTCACTAATAAATTGGCATGCCATTACCTCCAGCAAATTGTTATAGAACTTGAATTGCCTTCCTTAACTGATTTATTGCTGTGAATGTAAATTTATGTATGCATCGGAGGTTTTAACTAAACTAAGTCACTATATAAAGTGATTCACCAAAATAATATGTTTTTCTAAAATTTTACAAAACTTGTATAAACGTATTCCACAGTAACGTTTTAGTATATGTTTATTTTTTAAAAGTTGATGGCGTCAGTAACGTTTTACTCCTAAAACGTTACTCACAGTAACATTTTATGAGTAAAACGTTACTGAAAATAACGTTTTAAAAGTAAAACGTTACTTATAGTGACGTATATCAACCTAATGCTGTTAGTTTTTAAAAAATAAAATATACCCTAAAACGTTACCATGAAATACGTTTATACTAGTTTTGTAAAATTTTAGAAAAATATACTACTTTGATAAATTGCTTTATATAATGACTTAGTTTGGTTAAAAATTCTATGCATCGTCACGTGGATAACATTCAAACTACTTTGTTGACTTGCTCCCAAAAGTCTTTTGACGCTCAAGCACAAGTGTGAGATAGAGGAGGTCGTTGAACATGATATTGTTTCTGCGTTGGACAAGGACAACTCCAACCCTATAGAGAATTCAGAGGTCGCTCATACAATGTTACCATGTCATGTGGCCAATTGGATGGTACTTTCGCAACGATTAAATTTAAGAGGTAGTTCTTCAAACCTCTATGAGTTCTTCTTCTCATTCCTTTCTTCTATTTATGTTTTTTAATTGCCATTTAATTTTTAAATTTCTTTTTAATTTTAATTACGAATTAGTGAAATAGACTTGTCGATTGTTTGAATTTGATTTGGATTGATCTTGTTATTGTGTTTGTTACATCGTATCATGTATATATAAAAAATGAGCCTAAAATTGTTAATATCATAATGGGTTTTCTTCATTGTCTCAGAATAGTCATTCCTATTGCTTAGACTTCATATCACCGGTCTCAACTTATTTGGGATTGAACCATTGTTGTTGTTGTTAATGTTATAGTATGCAGTTACAAAGAATTAATGCAATGATGAACCATACATTAGGTAGTCTTTGAATTGAATAGGTCGAAAATGGATATTCTAAACCAAATTTTGATACATAACATATTAAATTTTATTGCATATTTTGTGAGCACTTGAACTCATAAATATCGACAAATAATAATAAAGACGATCTCACTTCCTAACAAATCAAGAAGAAAAAGACACGTTGCTTAACATATTTTTCAAAAAAGATAGTCTGACGGGCTGTATCCAAGATTACAGTTCACAACTTTAATTGAAAGAAAGAATCATCATTACAACAAAAATGATTTTTAACAGTAAATAATAGCTTAATTACCGCGATATATTTTCAAAGGCAATTAGTTTTCTCTTTAAATGTCTCTAAAGTCTATATCAACGTTAAATCTATTGATAATTAATTAATATCAGTTAAGGAACTAACGCTCTTCTTTAATGTGCATATTTATTGCGGATAAAAATAATTTTTGTTATAGTGTATTTTGGGCATCTGTTAGTTTCAAAAAAAGTTCATCTCTTAATATGCTCAAGAAGAAGAAAGGAAGAAATATGACAAATTCGTCAACTTGCTATAAAGAAGTGGACTAATTGTCTTTACACTAATATTCTGATGTGAGCGCAATGACGTACACAATATTTGTACCTAAGATAAAAGAACCAAAATAATATACTAATTGCCGCAAGCAAGAAAGCAATATGTTTGGTTCTTTTAACAAACTTCACCATTGATTTCCTATTAATTATCACATATGTTATTGTAGTGTGCTATCAAATATGACACAACCCACAAGCAATTTTTTCAAAAAGCATATGAAGAAGTGTGTAGAAAGGGACAAAAGAGGAGATTAATTTTTAGTCATCCTTGCTGTAATTTTTAACAGAGTTTAAAAAATGTCCCCAAAATAAAAAAAGAGAAAGAAATTGCAATAATAATATGAATCATTATGACTTACAATAAAAGATTAAGTTACATGAAATAAGAGGAAGAAAACTTTGAGAAACTAAATACATTTTATCATAAACTTAATTAATGTATTTGAATTCGACTCCCCTATAATGAAAAAAAAATCTACAACAATAGTGGTAGAAATGGATGTTTTTATTTATTAAAGACAAAGTCTTATGAATTCAACAAAATATTCATGTTATATATTTAATTTGTACCTCTTATTTTACTCTTTTTGATAATGTGTATAACATGCTCTCTTTATTCAAAAATATATCTTGCCATATTTGTCCATCTTTAAAAAAGTTTAAATTATTAGTGTTAATTAAAAATTAAAAATTGAAATATCATCATATAAAAACAATGAAAAATTAAAAAAACTATTTTTATTAGAATTTTCTAAATCATCATTTAAATAAAAATCTATTATGAGAGAACTATAATCTTATAGACATGATTTATATGATTAGTATAAGAAGTATATGGTAGAATTCTATTTAATTGATAAAAAGGAGATTAAGTAGAAAACAGATTACTTATTTTTATGTTAGTTAAAAAAAGGGATAATACCCAATTACCCCCCTAGCCTATACCCAAAATCCCTACGACACACCTTATCTTTGATGAGGTTCTATTACCCCCTCCGACTTATTTTTTAAGTAATATACTACCCCTTGCGTGCCTACGTGGCAAAAAACGTGTTTGCACCCATGTAGGGCGCGTGAGTGCGGAATGAGGGCAGAGTGAGTGCAGCTTTTGGTTAACAATGGCCAATGAAAATGAGCCACGTGTCAAAGCAATTTGAAAAAAATACAAAAATGAATTTTATGTTTCTCTCAAAAACATCTTCTTCCTCTTTTCAAAAAAATACCACCATTTTTATGCTTCTTCATTTTTGAAGAAGATCCATTATCATTCAAACTCTTTGATTTGAAAAGGTAAAGTAAAATTTAATATATTCTTTACATCTTTTTATGTCGATTATTAATTCTTTTTTTTGACAATGTTTATAAAGTTAGGATTATGACAAAATCCGAGTTGAATAAGTTGTGTATGGATGGGAACGATTCAATGTTTAACGCGGAAGTGCGATGCAAGCATGGAATCTTACTGCAAATGCAGACGTCTTGGTCAAATCGCAATCCCGGAAGACGATTTTGGTCTTGTCCTCACTATGAGGCCACAAACTGTAATTTCTTTAGATGGAGAGACACGGAGAGAGTTGATGAAAGATCTCGTTTTATTATTCCTAAATTGGTGAATAGGATTAACGAGTTAGAAAAAAATTATGAGCGTGTGAAGATGCAACTGGAACAGCTTGATAATTCCAACATTGAACAGTCAAAACTAGAGAAAATTCCTTTGGATGAAGGTGAAAGTCTTCGAAATTGTTATGAAAATCTGAACATCAATTCAAAGGAGAAGGTTGACAACGTAAAAGAAATGGGTGAATTGAAAGACAAGAAGAAGATGAAAGGGATGAAAATGAAGAAAACAAATAAAGGCTGTTGTTTTGGCAAATTCCTTTGTTGTCTGATGATTTGTTTTGTTGTTGTATTTGTTAGTTTTCTAACCCAAGTTGGTAGGTATAAGGATCATATAAAATTGCCATAATTTTGTGTGGTACTACAAAACCTTTATTTGCTCTATTGTAATGTAAAATTGAATTTGTTTGTGTTTGAAACTGTCTTAATTCTCTATTTGCCATGTTGA